CCCCAAAACCCCAAAACCCCAAAACCCCAAAACCCCTTAAAACTTTAGTATAATTGAAAATGGAGAAAAGGAATCTTGAAAAATTAGCACCCCCGAAAGACTCAGAAGATGGTAAGCCACTCAGCTCATTTAGATGCTATAGGAGCTTTTATTGAGGTGCATGTTGACCAGAAGAATGGAACCTTACATGTTTGTAATAAATCTGAGGAAAACTCTCTTAGTTGAAATAAGAATAAAAAGGTATCTTAAATAAAACCAAAACCAATATCATCTTTAGGTAAAATCTCCCAATGCAATCATAAGCAAGAAGGTTGAGCCAGTTGAGACGAAGGTAAAGAGATATTTGTATACCCATAATTGTAAGAATAGGGCTCGTATTAATTAGAATTATGAAATAGAGAACCATCAGCTTACAATAATTTTATCTTTGGTATTACAATCCTAATGCCTCCTTATCGTCAAATCTGAGTATATATAATGATGCCTCAACTCTTTTTATATAATATGAAAAATGATAGCTCAATCGCAGCATTCTAGATCTTTACTTATTTGCTTTGATATTGATAGAGAAATAATACAACAAAATAAGTGCACTTTCGTGAACAGATTTTGTCATTTTTATGCTAAAATTTAGGTAGAATACTTAGCTATCAACTTATAAATCTCGAAGTACAATAAATATAGAATTATTGAAGCCTCTGGTGACTTTTACTAGATAATAGTGCAATCCAAAATCGTGTACTCAAGTTGCTAGACTGAGATAACCTTAAAAATTGAGGCCAATCTTACATACTTTTGGAATGCTTGGTTCTTAGAATAAGACAAAAGATGCTCGAAAAGAGAGTTCTTTCATGTCAGCTCAAATCAATAGTAGTAAAATCTACTATATTAGAAATAATATTATGCAAAACTTTTTGAAACTTATTAAAACAAGATGACTTCCTGCAGTCTTACTCTCCCAAATAATCAATATTTCATAGAGGAAGCATGAAGAAATGTTAGAAACCAGGAAAGAATTGAGCATTGCCAACAACAAGAGACCAATATAGACTGGAATGAAAATAGAATAATCGAAACCAGCAAAGAGTCATACACTTGTCAGACTAACTTCTAAGAATCATTCAGAAGATTTCATTAATGGCGACATAAATTTTGGAAGTTAGTCTAATAAGGCTTATTTTAGAAAATGACGAAAGAAACTCGAATAGCAAAGCACAACAGACAATAGAGACACAGGAAGAGACAAATGAATCAAGGATCCATAGTCAAGTATTTAAGTCTGAACTACCCAGGAATATTAAAGAGCAATCAAAAAGACTAAAATAAAAATATAAAAACTGTAAACCAAATACCAAAAGATCGTCAAAGTTTTGAGTATGTCTCTTCTAAATCCAAGATAATTATGCTAAAGAAAAGGCGAAAGAAGTCAAGTATTGCTTATCTTCTAAATTATAGGCCATAATGCTCACACCAAGAGCTATAAGATCTCTAACACAACTCTAAGTCTTCCCAATTCTTCATTTAAGGCGAACAGGACCATTCCTTCTGTGCCTATAGAATTCCTTCTGAAGGCGATTTCTCCTCGCCAGTATGATAAGGTCATAGCTAAATATAACAAAAGTAGAAAGAAAGGTAAGCAGCCACTTTACCCGAAAAATATTTTTGCTGAACTTGATCTTGGAGCCGCTCAAGAAATAGAGAAGTCTAGCAGGGAGTATGAATACATACTAAGGTGAAAACAAAAATCCTTCATGGCAAGAATGAATGAAGATGTTTATAAACGTCAAAAATAGACACAAGAACCTATGTAAAGACCACGTAAATACAAGAGGGAATAATCATGCCTCTCTCAGTTGGGAAAGAGTAATACTGGTTTTTAATTCTCTAGGCAGTGCAATTAAGTGACAGATTATACAAGGAAGGCAATAAAAGCTTAATCTCTACTTCCCAAATCCGCTGAGACGCTCACACTCTTCGCCATAACACACCCTACTCCTTCAGCTCTCCAATACACCATACCCCCTCTCCACCAAAATAATTTCACAAAAATCCTTCACAGGATGAAATCCAAAGACACCGCTGCCAAAATTCAAATCTTAAACCTCCGCAAATCAAAACGCCACTTCGGTATCCCCAACCCTCACATACAGAACACAATCAGGCCCAAAAACTCCTCAACCAGAACATCAGCAATGGCAAGATGCCCAAAACTCAGTTTGAGAAGTTACAGAGTAAGGAAATGGTAATTTTTGTAGGGAAATTTGAAGAGGATATTGAGAAGAGGAAGAGGGAGTATGATGAGGAGATTGACAGGAAGTGAAAGAGGTTTGAAGAGGAGGTGAAAGGTAGGGAGATAAGGATATTTTAGATATGTTTAAGCCGAAATTAGGGAAATCGAAGAGGAGTCTTGGGAAGTTGAGAAAAAGGGAACTTTTGTTGAAATCGCTTGGGAAGGCGTTTTGACAGAAGAGAGTTTTGAGGAAAGTAACGATGCCAGTGGAGCTCTTGAAGAAGTCTACTCAGAAGGCTTCTCAGCAGTTGAAGTCTCCTAATGAGAGGATTAATGTCAAGAGAGGTTCAATGAAGAAGAGTAAACAAAGTAAGGTTAATCTTGGTCTAAAAATTTCTTTAGATAAGATATTGTACCATTACCTAACTAAAACTCCTAAGGAAAGGAATAGAGATTTGACATATTTAAGAGATTCTTCTAGTAAAAAGATTCGAAATTTTGAGATTCTTAAACAAAATGAAACAGTTCAAGAAAGGGATATAACTAAAAAGTTAAAACTTACAGAGGACACTTTAGAAGATAGAGCTGAATCTAGAGAAGAACATGCTTGATTTACAAAATCTGAATCTAAAAATAGCCCCTTGGATCACTCTTCTCAGACTAAAGAGGATGAATTTGAGGATTTTAAGTGTACAAACCATCCAAAGAAGATGAAACTAGCTAACCATAGGCCTCCAAAAAGCAAGAAGGTTAGATTTATAGTTCATTTTCAGATCAAAGTTAGACAAAAAGTTGATCGGAATGCTTTACCTAGTTATTTAAGTCCAACAGAGAGTAGCTCAAGAGCTTGAAGAGTTAAGTATACTTCGTCAGAAAGTATAAGGAATCGTAAATAATAATCTTATATCTTCAGAGCATTTCAGTCTGTCTAATAAAAGCAAGAAAAGATCAATACCTAGGACAAAGAAATTTAAGGAAGATCACTTTTCGTTTAGCTTTTCTCAAGTGGTTAGTCCAGTGAGTAAACCGAGGAAGCCTCGGGCTGCCTCAGCTAATAGCCAAAGGAGCTCCCATAAGTTCACATTAAGTTCTTTAGACAAGGAAAAGTATGAGAAATCTAGGCAGAATTTTGAGCAATATCGGCTTAAAAATTTATAAATTTTACCAGTGTCAATCTTAAGGGAAATTTTTGGGGTTTTGGGGTTTTGGGGTTTTGGGGTTTTGGGG